ATCATTGCACCGAGGGCATTGGATTAGGATCCATGATTACAATTTTCCATAACTACCGCAACTTGAATTAATACCTATGTAATCTTCTCTATGTGATTTTTGCTTTGGCTTTATTTTCGCTTCGGCCTAAATTTCTCCCTTTCTCATTCAAGTAAGAGATATTAAGAGCATTAGACATTAATGATGGATTTAGTGTAGCATCATCGGAGATATTTGCTAGAGTAAGTGGTGTTCATAGGTCCGTGCTTGGTCGAGGTATGCTTCTATTTCATGCTTTACAAATTCTTATGCAATTTGTATGTTGAACTTTCCTTTACTTTTATGTCTCGCTTCCGCATTTGGGCTCCAATTAAGGACATGACCTTAATCATTTTTTTATATTGGATTCAAGTAAAACTAACATAACTAATGATTATGGTACACTTGTGGAATGTACCTTTTTTATTTTGATTTTTTAAGGTTGTTTCACACAAAAGAAAATTGCATTTCTAGACTTGTGTTTCCAATGAAAGGGTTTATGTTTTATTTCAAAATAAAAAAAATTATGTTTCATCTTTTATAGATATTTAACTTTTTTGGATAACTTAGCTTTTTTTCCTTAATAGATATTTAACTTTGTGGATAAATAAGTTACGTGCTTAAATAATTTTAAATTTTAAGACATATATTTTCATCCCAAATATTATAATTCATCATAAAATAATTTGTTTTCACAAGAGATGCGCACGACAAGCTAGGCGCGGGGTTTAAAATTGGACGCCAATGATTTGAGGATGAAACATATATTTTGTCAAGAAATATTTGTATTTTGGAATGAAAATGAATTCATAGGTAAAAGTTTCGTAGCTATATTTGAAAATTGTTGTAGTGAATACTTTCTTAAATAGAACAGTCTAAATCCAAAACCATTACATAAATTATTACATATCTACAAGAATAGGTTAGAATGTTGTTCTTCTCGAAACTCCTCGCTTTAAAAGATTATTCTTCTTGAGACTCCTTAGTTGACACAGTAGTCATCTTTAGATTTTTTTTCCCCATAACATCCACTTGCATAATGCACACACTATGCCAATAAAGTCAATAGTATCAAACGTGAATATCAAGAAACCGAATACAATTAAAGTGAAATCCTACCTTTGTCTCAAGAACAAAAAACTATGCAGCCTTTAGTGCTTCGAGCCAAATGATCCGATCCTCTAGTTGGAGAAGCTAAAGCAAAATAAACAAGCATAGGGTAGTGACCAACATGTGATGCATAACCGTGATGTTGAATATTCATTGCCCACTTGTTGCATTGATTTACAAATTATAATCAATTATTATTATTATTATATATGTAACAATAAATTATTTATATATAATGATGGTTAATAAAGAATATAAGCAAATGAAAGAAAAAAATTCTCACAATTTGTTTAAATCAACATAAATATTTGGCCCGGAGATGCTCAAGTTATGAATTGATATTAAATCTATTATTGTCCTACATAAATTAAAAGTAGTATCAATCGAGTGAGTGAGGAAGTCTTTGCTCGATAAGCATCATGCGAGAGGAGGCAAAGAGTTTTGAAACTCAACTCGGATAACTGGGTAGCTATTAGGGTTTGAAAGGTTTTGTGATTTTTTGAGAAATTTCATGGTTTTGTATTGAAAGAGAAGAAAGGAGAATTTTGTTGTCCTAACCATAAATCCTATTCACCTTTTTTCTCTCTTTGCCTAACTCAAAATTTCATGGTTTTTGTGTTGAGAGAGAAGAAAAACAAAAGACCCGTGTTCGACTCCCGACTATTGATTTAAGGTTTGAAATTTTTTTTTCCTGTTAATCTCTTTTTTTTTTTTTTTATGTTCCGGACAATCGTTGACTTTTTCTTTTCTTTTTTTTTTTCCAATCTGTTTCCAAGACTCGTTCACATTTTCTTTTTCTTTTTTTCATTTTGTTTTGAATACATGCAAATGTTCACTTTTTCTTTTTTCTTTTTTTTTTTTCAATTTGTTTTGAATACATGCCTTATCTTTTTTTTCCCTTTTTTTTTTCTATCAATTTAGATACTTTTATTTATTTAATTTTTATATTTTTTCATTTTAGTCTCTAACATTTTAAAATAAAACTTTTTAATCCCCTAACCGATGTACTCGCTCATGCCTTTTTTTTCTTTTTTCTTTTTTCATCAATTTATGTTCTTTTTTTTTTAATTAGGTGTTAAATTTTTAAAAAATTACTTATTACTTTTTTCCATACAAATTGACAATTATATGATATACACGACCATGTTCACATCTTTTTTTGGTTCCGCCACTATTCATTTTTTTTTCTTTTTTCTTTTTAATTTTTTTGAATATATGCCTTTTATTTTTTTCCCCCTTTGTTTTTTTCCCATCAATTTAGGTTCTTTTTTTATTTATTTTTCTTTTATTTTCAGATTGTTTCATTTTGGTCACTAAAATTTTAAAGTAAAAATTTTAATCCCCTAACTAAAGCATTACTCATGCCTTTTTTTTTTCATCAATTTATGTTTTTTTTAATTTAATTAGGTGTTAAATTTTTAAAAATTCAATCGTTACTTTTTTCCTCACAAACCGACAATTATATAATATATATAAGATATTATTTTATATGTATACGATATATTTTTAGATTTTATTACGATATATATTTTTTTTTTGTTTCAAGTTGTTTCACTATGCATGCCTTTTCCTTTCTTTTCTTTTCTTTTTTCCTTGCTTTTTTCCAATCAATTTAGGTTCTTTTTTTATTTAATTTTTAAAAAAATTTTTAGGTTGTTTCATTTTTATCACTTAAATTTTAAAATAAAAATTTTAATCCTTTAACCGATGCACTACTAATGCCTTTTTTTCCTTTGCTTTTTCCCATCAATTTATGCTTTTTTTTATTTAATTAGGCGTTAAAATTTTAAAAAATTAATTTTTACTTTTTTCACACAAACCGACGATTATATGGCACGACTCATGCCTTTTTTTCCTTTGCTTTTTTTTTCCCCATCAATTCATGTTCTTTTTTTATTTAATTATGTGTTAAAATTTTAAAAAATCAATCGTTACTTTTTCTCCATGTAAACTAAATATAATATATATAATATTTTTTTCATTTATATGATATGTTTTCAGATTTTAAAATAAATATAAACTACTCTTATTGTTTAAAATTAATTTTTTCAATAAAAATTCTCATCAAGTTAATTTTTATTCTTATTTTTTTATAATTTAATTTATTAATAAATATGACTTATTTTCTCTATGTATGGATTCAAATAAGTTTTTTTTTTATACCTGTTTTTATTTTCTTAATTGTTATATAATCAAATTTTAAAAATTGAATATATGTATTTTTTTTCTTAATTTTTACATAATCAAATTTTATTGAAATTAGTTTTGTAGTTTCTACTACACTCTATTAACTTCAATATATATTTTATAATTTATTTTTTAAAATATTTTATAATTTATTTTATACAGATCTCACCTATTGAGTACGGTTATGATATATAAAAAATAATGACATTAGAGCTATTGATTTTATTACAAATCAACTATGCATCTACACACATAATACCAACTATTTGCTATTATTTTTTAAATATTTAAAATGATTTTTTCTAAGAAAATAATAGAAATAGTAGTTTAGAATAACTTCCTAATAATTCAAATACAATTTTGTATACTAATATTATTCATTATTTTGTAAATAAATATACATAAATTAAATGCATATATATATATATATATATTTTAAAATAATCTTCTCATCAATAAAAAGGTTTCATTTTTTAATTTTCATATAATTTTTTATATTAATTGTTGCTTTATTTTTTTGATGCAATGTAATGAAAAAAATATTAAGATGTTTTTATTATGGGTTTTATATAAGAATAAATGCATCGAAAAGAACAAAATTTATTCGAACACACACACACAAAATTTTGACTAAAAATTATAAAATTAGATGAAATTTTATCTTTTATATTTAATTTAATATATTTTAATTAACCGATAACATAGTATATGTTATTCAACTAAAATAAATATGTTTAGCTCGGTACGTAGTGTAGCGCGAGAATCCGAATTATTCATATATCTAAAATTCCTATTTACTTACCGTTAATATGTATAAAATTATTATTCACTTTATGCCAATTTAAGTCATTTTTACGTGCCGTTTTTTGTGTGTTTTGGGTCATTAATATACAAATTTAACTCATGCTTTAAATTATTACAAGTTTTTATTTAAGAATCCCCGAATATAGAAGAATAAATCATGTTTTTTAAAAACAAAAATCTTATGAAAAACACAAAAAATAGTAATAATTAAATACAAAAATTATAAAATTTTGGAATAATTTTATTCTATTTGCCCACGAGCGTTCCGTAAATAATTTCAAAAGTTAATCTTCTCATGAGCATTAAATATTTTTTTTCATTTGTTAATTTTATAAAAGTCTGACCATTAATTATAAATTTATTTTTTGAAATATAATCTCATGAAAAATATGTTTTTAAAATTTTCTAATTCTTGATTAATATTTTATTTAAAATTATTATAATTTTTTTATTTTAAAATAAATCAATAAAGAAGAATGATTTATGTTTTTTTAAGCAAAAAATTTATGAAAGACATTAAAAAATTAATTAAATAAAAACTTAGGATTTTAAAATAAATTTGTTTTATCAAATTCGCAGTGTAACACAGGCAGCCAGCTAGTGTTTCCGAAACCAAATTGATATTATCTTCATCGTTAAAAAAAAAAAAAAAAAAAGGAAAGAAAGGAAAAGTCCTAATTCCCAACAAGAAGTCGTTCCGAAAGTAAAAATGGACCTAAGCTTTGACCTTTGTACTTGAACCCAAAAAAATGCTCAAAACCTACAATAAGGCCCATGAAGTATTATCATATATTATAATATGCGCCATGGTGGGTACAGCGCACCTCCTTATCCCATTTTCTGCCTTTTCTGCTTCATGCCCCAGAACCAGTAGCTGAAAAATGGCATCGTCTTCTCCTTCGTCTTCAATTACATCAAATTTAGTTTCATCCCCATTTTACCCTTCATCATTCTCCAAATTCTCATCATTGCCCCTCCTCTCATTCTCTCAAACCGTCAAGCCTTTCCCTAAAACCTCAAAACTGCTCTACAGAACACTCAACAACCAAACAACAGTAGTCAAGGCCCAAACAGTAGATTTCGCGGGTTCGTTTTATGAAGGCGGGATCGGTTCTGATGATGACCCGGATTCTGCAATTGGGTCGGGTACTATGACTGCTGTGGAAGAGAAGGAGACGCCTCCCTGCCCACCTGGGCTTCGACAGTATGAGACTATGGCTGTTTTGAGACCTGACATGTCGGAGGATGAAAGACTCGCTCTTACACAGAAGTACGAGGAGGTAATAACACATATGCACCCCATTTATTTATTGTTTCAATTTAGTCCTTGAAGTGTGAAACTTTATAATGTTGTGATTGTCGTTGTCTTTAATCCTACAGCGTGCTTAAAATGTTGCGGTTTATATTTAGCTTTGTTATTTTCCCTTACTATCAGTTTTGAGTACAAATGGCAAGTAAATTTGCTAGATTTTTTTTTTTTTTTTTTTTTTTTTTTTTTTTTTTATGGGAATGCAGCCCTGCATTGTTTGAAAAATTGTACATATGGCAAGTAAATTTGCAAGATTGTTTATGGGAATGGGACCCTGCATTGTTTGAAAAAATTTTCTCGTGAAATCGAGTGGAAGGACTTAATAGGTTAGTGATTGAGGCCAAAATGTCTTTCTTTAACTGGCACTGATGACGACGGTCCAAATGCTTTTAGTTGAATTGCAATCCTTGTTGACTTATTAATTGCGAAGGAAAATGTTGGCTTTTAGCATTTGTTGACAGATAACAATGATTCTAAGCCAAATTGCCTCGGGTTAAATTGTATGTGGCCAGACAAATGATGGTTTGGCCTCGTATCTGTTAGATTTAGTGAACTAGCAGATGCTTCGGCTTGATGATCTTTTATGTCAATTTGTTTCAACGCCATGCTGATTATGATTTTTAGTTAGAAAGATCTTGCAATAGATGTTCTGAAGTTCAGTACTTATGCACATGTTGTTGACAGTTATCTCAGGGATGGTCTAAGTTACGAACATAAGAGCAAGATTATGTCGAATAAGGTCATGTATGTTACAAGACGTGCACTCAAAATAAATTGACGATAGTGTTTCATGGTTTGTAAATGTTTACTTTAGGAGCTAAGCAAGGTAACTATTTAAGCAAGTATGTTTGTAACTTCAAATTACAGTAGTTTCGAGTAGCATAATGGTTAATCATACGCTTCTGCTGCATAATTCTTCATTGTTCTTGCTGATGGTGATCATCTTGCAGTTGCTTGTTGCTGGTGGTGGCATGTATGTGGAGGTATTCAACAGAGGGGTCATTCCACTAGCTTACAGCATCAAGAAGAAAAACAAAGCTGGGGAGTCTAACACTTACTTGGATGGTATTTACCTTCTCTTCACCTACTTCACAAAACCCGAGTCCATGGCAGTTCTTGAGGCAACGTTGAAAGCAGATGATGATGTTATTCGATCTTCCAGTTTCAAAGTGATAAAGAGAAAGTATTAGTGCTGGTTAGTTTCAGTGTTCTGTGCAGTTGTTGGAGGAACATGGTTAGGAGAAAATGAGTTATAGCATCAATGTAATCTTGTTTGATATGCATCTTCTTTGATTCTAATGATTGAAATTTAATTTGATTCAGTAAAGTAATCCACAACGGCAAGAGTAGAAATCATGCAGGTGTTGGGGATGTGGACTTGCCTTAATAGTGTAAGTACTGTATTGTATGGGAATTTCACAACTCCTAAAGGGCATGCTTAGCTTGATGTTAAGCAGAAATATCCACCCCCTTGGTGATTTCCCATGTCTTTTCTTTTATGACATGGTGGGATTTCCAAGCCTTAGGCCTGAATAGTCCTCCACTACCGCAACCTTGAGGCTCCGAGCCTCCACTGAAGGATGGGCCACCGCACCAGTAGCACCAGAGGTGGCCAGCGCGGAATTTTTAATGTTCATTGGTGCTGAACCCTGTTCTCTTATGAGTATTTGCATCAACTTTAATACTTCAATCAACCCCGTGTTAGTTCAGTTTTCTTTCTCATGTACTGAAAAGGGGTGGACCCCTACCACTCAAACCTAGAGTTTTGATTTGTTTATAAAAAGGCGAAGCCTCAATATGTGATGCTCTCCATTTTTGTTCCAAAATTGAATATCGAAAAGGTATATCAGAATTGGTGATCCATTCTAGGAGAGCACTAATGTTAAACTACTTCCATAAGAGCAGTCGGCCTCTCCCAATTATATACATTTAACTAACAAAGAAAATAGTGCTCAGATAGGATTCAGTCGGCCCCCAATAATTTTTTGGGCGCACTTTTCCGCTTCTATACGAGATTCTGTAGCTGCCATTTGCCTATGTAAATGGATTACTAGGAATAATTGTGACAAATGCGTCAAATTTTATGATCAGAAATATTTTTATATTTAGAGAATCTGATATAGTGGTGCAGTTTGAGATCTTATCTGATACCCACTTTGTGTGTGAGGGAGCTGTCTTCATGTTCCACTAACTACAGTGAGATCTTCCCAATCAAAGTTAATAGCAGCATGCCCACATTGAACTGCATACTGGAAAGGAGGACAAGTTCCACTAAGTAGGATCATAAGATAAATGTGAAATGCATTAAAGTAATGATGCTTATTATGAGAAAAGGTAAGTGCAAATCTCAAATCATCTAAACCAAGATGTTTATATTTAACCAGCTGGATTAGCCTACTAAAAGAAGTATTTAGCTTTTACCAAAGGATATATATATATACATGGACTAGTTTGCTAGACTGGTTGATTGAAGCTGCTAGATTATGAACTTTGATCAACTGGGGCCATTATATTAGAAAGTCATGCTACATAAAGGTTTAAGGTATGAAGCAGAGATTTAACAATATTGATTGATAAGATCTATAGAGAAAATTTAAATTCAACATCGTACCAAATTATCCAAATTAATTGTTAAAATATCTGGGAAATTACTATTCTTAAATTGGTTTTGTTCAAATAGAAAATGCTATAGTGGAAGTACTGGATATAGATGGCATGCTGTCATGATTATTTATTGCTGAATTCTGGTGTTTATGTAATGATAAAAAGTTCAGGCACAAACATTACTTTTTTTTTAAAAAAAAAAACCTAATGCATGATGGAATCCTTCTTGTGTTTCCAAGTAAATGGTTTTTCCTGGTTTATTAGTATAGGCAAAAACCTTTTGCCCTAAGAACCACTTTGGGGTAGTTCTCCTTCCCTTTCCTTACCTCAACTTCGATTGCAATTTGCAAAGCATAACCAAAAATTCCAACTTCTCAAAAGTCGAAAGTCCACATTGAGGGACAAAAAAAATATTAAAAGCAAATTTCTTTTTCAGAGGGTTTTCAGGTGGTTTGATGATGTCTTAACAAATAAAAAACAATTGCAAGGTTAGGTTAACATCTAACAACAACAAATCTTCATGTCAAGTGGGAGGCATACAGGCCTAATGATGCTAGTGGGCTACTGGTCTCCTATATTTACCTGTGGTATGGTAGAAATGTGTCAATTATTCGAGGTTGAGTTAAACCTACCTTGCAAACCCCATTATGTTTTTCTATTTATTTGAAGGTTGTTAGGCCAGTGACCTGCCAACCATGAATCAGGCTCTGCGTTTACATCTTAGGAAACACCTTTCTGCATATCTTCCTTAAGCAAAGATTTGCAAGAATCACCAACTGCTAAAGTCATCTTTTGCAAGCGGAGTCTTCTCAATCTCTCTACGCAAGTAAAAAAACTTGCACAAGTACTATGGGATGTGGGGTGGTTAGTAATTGCCTTAGCTAATCAAACCACATATGTTTACCAAACCAATCATTTTTAACTTCTCTTTGTCGATTCAGCAATTGAGTCCAGTATTCTTATAGTCTAGGCATTTTAGAACTCATAATAGTATTTTGGGTCCATGCTTGGAGAATGAAGACAAACCAGTCTTAAGTGCTTTGGGTGAGGACCCATGCTTTAGTGGAGAGACATGGGCTTGTCTCATCATTGAAAAAGCGAGAATATATACTGCCATCATGTAAATTTGATCTCAAAAGCTCTAATTTGCTGGCTTCTATTTTATTAACAGAGGTGGCATTATTAATGTATTCTTTTCCCAATCTAATACCAATCCTTAACTACCTCTTCCACCCTCCCTCTCTCTTTAGTCTTCTCCATAAATAAATTCAACAAGGCATTTGTAACTCTTCTATACAGCCTCCTCAACTCTTGAGTACTAGTCATAATTTTCTACATCCCGTCCTTTTTGAATATTTCAGACTGATGGGCCTCCCTCAAGCTCCAACCCCTCCTCATCTTTACCCTCAAGAACTTCAACTTAAACTTTACCAGGCTTTTATATTTTCAATTCCTATCCTCTTCTCCATTATTCTTTTTCTGTTGTTTTACTTGTTCTACCTCAAGAGAAGGTCTTCCTCACTTTCATCTCCTCCACATATAATTCCAAGAAGTTCCAATCAAGCTACTCCATATCATGTCTCCTCTGTAAGACCTCTCTCCATTTCTCTCTCTCGTGCACCACATGCATGCAGGAAGAAAAAAAAATGCAGAAGAGCATTTCTTCTTTTGTGTTGTGCTTTGAAATTGAGTTTTATACTATAGCATCATGGTTTGCTGTTCAGCACTTCAGCTATCAGATTAAGTATTTTCTAATTCTTCTTTCTTGTTTCCAATGATTGTATCTTTAGATTTGTCAGATTGGTCTGAAGGAAGAGCTTAAAGACAGGCTACCAACTGTCTTATTTGATGAAGAATTAATGACAAAGGATTCTCAGTAAGTTTGTCACAATAACTCAATTTCCAATTAAGATTAAGACAGCTTTGATGGAAATGTGCTACATATGGTCATGTGATGTGGGTTAGTATTTATCCTGCCCTACAATATGTGCTCAAGGTAGTGTTATATTGCAGTAATGATCATATGCTGACAAGGCCTATTCACTGAAACAAAGGAAGATTGAAATTGACCCGCAATAAAGTTTCTCTATTTTTTGAACATGAAGAAAAAGGACCTTAGATAAGGGCACACTATTCAGTATTTACATCTCCATAAAGTCATGCGGAGTCATCTTTTAAAGCAGTAATCCCTATGAACCATCCTTTATAGGCTAGGCAGAAGACCTTCCACTTTTATATCAGATGCCAATCAGAATGTCTAATAACATCCACTATTTTCTCTTAATTTTACACTTTTTTTTTTTTGAGATTATGGTGAAGAAATAAAATCTCTATGAAAATTGACATGTGTGGAGGTGGCAAGCATGTAAGAAATAAAGTTGCAAACAGTGCTGCTCGATTTTGAGATTCTTTAGAAAAGGTTAATCTCTGAAGCTATTGAAAAAGACATGAAATGTTATGCCATAATAAGAGTTTTCAGCTCTTGGAAGCCTAATGACTTTTCTTTGAGTTCCTTTTTGCTTATGGGTCCAATTATAGTGCTATATTTTTAATCCTTTTTGGGTCCCCAGCTTGCATTATTTCCATGTAAATTGCATAAATCTATCTACTTGTACCTGACTCTGAAAGACTCTGATTAGATATTCTCTTTAGCTAAAGAATGGTTAGCAAAGATTTAGAACAGACCCTCTATAATAATCCTCAACCACGCAAAATGCCAGGGCATCAAGTTCCAAAGTTTAACAGAAATATCAGAATTTCAATCAATGCTTCCTGTCTATACTTCGTAAGTTGAGACCTCTAAAACTGTGAAGTTTTTGTCCCTTTTCAAATGCACCCTAGAATCTTTAATTACATCCACTGCTTTCTGAAAAGAAAAACCATAGCTGCAAGTTTGTAGAAAGTATAGTTTTTGATGCTAATAGAAAAAACAGGGGAAAATGATATCAGGAATGACATCTATCTAGAATATCAAAAAGAAAAAGTGAAGGCTTCAATTCAGCAGAACCTAATGGAACTTTGAAACTTCATGGTTTCAGATGTTGTGTTTGCTTGGGCGAATTCGAGATCAAAGAGGAATTGCTTCAAATCCCATCATGCAAGCATGTGTTTCATGTTGAATGCATACATCATTGGCTTCACTCGAATTCAACCTGTCCACTTTGCAGGTGTTATGTCATATTCCCCGCCACCAAATTTTGTACTAATCCTCCACAATCTACTGGACATATGATACCTCCTCAATCTAGCGCAAACTCTCACCATCCTCAGAATATGACATCAGAACCGCAGCAACAACAAGATGTTGGTGCTGGGTCAAGAGAACAGTTTGAGATACCTATGGAAGGATCATCAAGTGTGACAACACAATTGAGGGACTCTTCCAGCTTGCCTGAGTTATCTGTTTCCGTTGAGAATGGAACGGGTTCTTCAACTGGAGAATCTGTTATTCTTCATATCCAAACACGTAGGACATGAAGAAAAGTTTAGCCTCTATATGTAGTTGAAATAAGTAGACAGGCAAAAGTTCTCAAGGCATACACCAAATGGAAAATACATGTGCGCGCGCGCGTGCCTATAAGCATGCACATTCTTTCAGTTAGCAGCGTAATTCTGTTTCAAAATTTTCTTGAAAGGATCTAATTTTATTCTTCTAGGGCATTGCCCTCATTCCTTTCAAAAAATTCCTTGAAAGGGGTTAGATAGAAGGCCAGTCACTAGCTAGTAGTGTTAGTGGAATCACAGATAGGGACAGCCTTGTACCAAAATCCGGATTGAGCTCCTCTCATGTCAGTAAATGCAGAAATTACACTAGAAGCATGTGAAAGATGAGCATTTTGCCCCGGAAATATAGTGCAATTTTGTGATAGCACCATCTTGATCTTCTTTTATTAAAATCATCTATTTATTTCCTTCAAAAGAATAATAATAATAATAATAATAATAATAAATCATCTATTTATGTATTACAAGTCAAACAGAACCACAGCTCGCTTTACCTAAGCATAGTTAGTAAAAGTGAAGAGTCGTTGAGGAATGATAACGCAGAACTCACAATTTCTTACTTGAAAATGGAAGAAGCTGCTACACAAAAGGACCATGCCAGAATCGTTGAAATAATTGTAGTTTTGGTAGGCAACTTTCCTGTATCATTCCTCAAAATCATGGCTTTATAGACTGGCCAACAATTCACTATGGCAAATCCAGCTATAAACAGTTGGACTAAAAGTTCATCAAAATTGCTGCCCTTAAAAACCTCAACCAGACCCCAGGTAAATGAGACCAAGTTGATGAATGCAGCCATTGTTAGGGGCACAGGCACAGATGAATTAACTCTAACTCAAAGATCCCTTGGTCATATCTTTTACTTTGTTCATCATTAGCCACTTTGCTTGTCACGGTAAAACAACATTGGAAATTCCCAAGGACTCGAGAAAGAAATCAATGGATCCAAAGAATAAACACGAAAAACTGTTGAATGTAGTGTCTCAGGAGCTGCTGATACAGGACTGCTACAAGAACAAATATGCAGCTGACAAGGCTGCCAACTTGGCAGTAAGCCTACTTACAAGGCTACTGATTGTGGAGGTGTTCTTGCACGTATAGAAAACAATTAGAAGAACAAGGAGAAGACTTGGTCTCTAGGAAGTGGTTAGTTATATCAGATTTCAAGAGTTTGTTATTCCATTTTGTTAATCATGGACTTAGTGCCATAATAATCTCCATATTTTGCTCATTCCAGTTAACAATTTACATGTATAAATTGATGCTTTATGATTCAATAAAATGTAGATTCAATAGTCTGAAATTATCTTCTTTTTGCTTACCTTTTGCACTCTGTTTCCAATAAAAACCAACAAATTGGTATCGAGCTTTAATCTTGAGAGACCCGTGAAGTTGAGAGAACCTAAACACTTGTCCTAAACACTCACCACCTATCCTAAACAAAACACACAAAACCTACAAAACAAAAAATTCAAAATGGATTCAAAGATCTCATTTATTGCAGTGGCACCTCTAGTGTTTGATGGAACAAATTATCAAGTGTGGGCCGTTAGAATGGAAGCCTACCTTGATGCAAATGATATGTGGGAAGTCGTTGAAGATGAGTACGAAGTTCCTCCTTTACCAAACAATCCCACCATGGCACAAATTAAAAATCACAAAGAGAGGAAACAAAGGAAATCAAAGGCTAGAGCCGACTTATTCTGCGATTGTCTCATCTACAATTTTCACCGAATCATGACACCGAAGACAAGAAAAGAAATCCGGGACTTCTTGAAAAAGGAGCATGAAGGAGATGAAAGAGTCGGAGGCATGCAAGTTCTCAATCCGATTAGAGAATTCGAATTGTAGAGGATGGAGGATTCGGAGACAATCAAGGACTATTCGATAGACTTCTCGAGCATAGTTAATAGGGTAAGGCTTTTAGGCACCGACTTTTCCGATTCAAGAATAGTTCAAAAAATCCTAGTTACAATTCCCGAGAAGTTTGAGGCCACAATCTCATCACTTGAGAATGCCAAAGACCCGTCAAGTATCACCTTGGCGAGCTTTTAAATACATTGCGGACATAAGAACAAAGGAGGCTTATGAGATTAGAAGGTTCGTAGAAGGGGCTTTACAAGCCAAATCACGGATCAACAACAATGGAGTAGAAGCAAAAAAAGAAAAACATCTATAAGCTGTACTGGATCGAGTTCGAGCAATTAAAATAACAACAACAATAACACTCAAATCTTTCCGCCCGTCCTCATTGCAAAAAGACAAATCATCCACAAAAAAGGTGTTGGTGGAGGCTCGATGTAAAGTGTAATAAATATGGACAGCTAGGGCATATGGAGAGGATATGCAAGAGTCAACAACAGCTAGGAGAAGCCAAGGCTGCTGCCGATCAACCACAAGAGGAGCGAGTTGTTTGTTGCATCATGCTTTGCCAGCAAAGAACTCTACGGAAAGTTGGTCGATAGATAGTGGTTGCACAAACCACATGACTTATGAGCTCTTCGGAGAACTCGATAAGACTCGCCATTTCCAAAGTTAGAATTGGGAATGGAGCATACATTGCAGCAAAAGGCAAAGGGACGAGTAGCAATTGAAGGCATCTCGGGTTTGAAACTAATCCCGGATGTGTTATATGTTCTCGAAATTGACCAAAACCTTTTGAGTGTTGGTCGGTTATTGGAAAAAGGCTATAAGGTTACGTTTGAGGAAAAAAATTGCATGATTAAGGATGCTCGAAGGAATGGAGGTTTTTAGAGTCCAAATGAGAGGCAAAAGCTTTGCCTTGAATTTGTTTGAGGAGGAGCAGTCACAGTGACATAAAAAAGACAATCATACAGATGCTTTGGCACAAGAGATTGGGGCATTTTCATCATGCCGCCCTACTCTTCATGAAGAAGAACAATCTTGTTGAAGGCTTACCCGATTTGGAGGAAAACCTTCCTACATGTATTGCTTGTCAATATGGGAAACAAACTAGGCTTCCATTTTCATAAAACAAGGCTTGGAGGGCTACACAAAAGCCGCAATTAGTACACACGGATGTGGGAGGACCTCAAAAAACACCATCATTGAATGGAAGTAAGTATTATATTGCTTTCATTGATGATTGTACAAGAATGTGTCGGGTTTATTTCATGAAATTTAAATCCGAGGTTGTCGACATATTCCGGAAGTTTAAAGCTCAGGTAGAGACACAAAGTGGATGTAAAATGCGAGTGATCGGATCCGATAATGGAACCGAGTACACCTCGGACAGATTCAACAAATTTCTTGAAGATGCAGGTATTGAGCACCAGTCGACCGCTCCTTACACGCCTCAACAAAATGGAGTAGTAGAGAGGAAAAATAGAACTCTCATGGAAATGACCGGATGTTTACTCGCATGACAAAGGATTGCCTAAGAAATTTTAGGTTGAGGTCGCAAACACAAGCAATCTTTTTGTTGAACGGATTACCAACAAAAGCTTTGCAGAAGAAGACTCCATTTGAAGCATGATATGGCTACAAACCCAAACTCGTTAAATTTGAAAACATTTGGTTGCCTTTGTTTCTCTTACATTCCTCGGATAAAGAAAGACAAACTCGGATAAAAAGGAAGAACCGGGGATCTTTGTAGGCTACGACTCGGTTTCAAAGGCCTACGGGATCTATATTCCACAAAACAACAAAGTAATTATCGGTAGGGATGTTCAATTCCTCGAGTTAGATAGCTGGAGCCGGGAAGATGATAAGAAGCTTGAGTTTCGGGAGGAGAATAATGATGTTGATGAAGAATGTGTTAGGGGAACCGGATCACTTTCCGATATCTATCGAGGTGCAATGTTGCCGTAATGAAGCCTTCTAGTTATAAAGAAGCCGCATCGGATCGAAATGGATGAATGCAATGAAAGAGGAGCTAAAGATGATTGAGAAAAACCAAACTTGAGAGCTAATGGATAGACATACACATAAAAAGGCTATTGGAGTCAAATGGGTGTACAAAACCAAACTCAATCCGGATGGTTCCGTGAATAAGCACAAAGCAAGGTTAGTTGTCAAGGGATATGCTCGGATGTTTGGGGTGGATTTTTTTGAGACTTTTGCCCCGGTTGCTAGATTGGATACTATAAGATTCGTCGCTGGGCATTCGTTGCACAAAAAGGATGGTCGATACGCCAAATGGATGTCAAATCAGCCTTCTTGAATGGATACTTAAAAGAAGAAATTTTTGTAGAGCGACTTAAAGGATTTGCTATTCAAGGACAAGAAGAGAAGGTATACTTGCTGAAAAAGGCCTTGTATGGCTTAAAATAAGCACCAAGAGCCCGGTACAATGAGAATTGATGCACACCTTGTAAATTTAAGCTTTGATAAAAGTTTAAGTGAATTTACTTTGTATATCGGGAAGGTTGATGATGAAATGCTTGTGGTATCTCCGTATGTTGATGATTTGCTTGTTACGGAAGCGAGTGTGAAGTCTGGTTGACAAGTTTAAAGAAGAAATGAAAGATGTGTTTGAAATGACAGACCTTTGGAGGATGACATTCTTCTTTGGTATGGAGGTACAACAAAAGCATTATGAAATATTCATATGCTAGCAGAAATATGCAAAAGAAATCCTCAAGAAGTTCAACATGGAGGAGTGCAAGCCAATTGCAACTCCAATGAATCAAAAGGAGAAATTTTATAAAGAAGATGGAGCTGAAAAAGTTGATGAAGCTATGTACGAGAGTCTAATAGGTCGCCTAATGTATTTAACAAGTAACCGAGCCGGATATCATGAATGCAGTAAGTTTGCTATGGAGGTACATGCATTATGCTAGTAAAATTCATTTACAAGCAGCAAAAAGGGTTGTTAGGTATGTCAATGGCACGGTTGATAATGGACTTAGGTTCGATCAAGTTAAAAATTTTAGTTTTCATGGTTATTCGATAGTGATTGGGCTAGTTGTGTTGATGACATGAGGAGCACTTCGGCTATTGTTTTAGTTTTG